CACCTTTTTGTACTTTCTATTCCACTTCTACTGACCATATGATGTGTCTTTTCACACCAGCCTCCACCTTTTGGTGACTTCACCTCTAACAAAGCTGGGAGCAGGTGGGGAGGCTGAGCTAATTGGAGTAGGGAGAGGAAGGAGCAGAAAAACACAGAGCCCCAGGAAAAAGTGCTGTATGGAATTGCCTAGGCTGTGTCTTACTCATTTCCTCTTTCTTCCTTTTCTTTGACTAAGAGCCATTTCATTTTAACTTATTATGGTGGTCATGCAAGTAAGAGAAAAAGGAGAGAAAATGTTCCTCTTTTACTGGAATGATGTTTATGATTACAAATGAAATAAGACATTTTTATAAATATAAAAGGAACCTTGATTTATGCAGCCTCTAACATTTACTTTACTCACTATCAATGACAACTTTACTCACTATCAATAATAAATATATTTTCTGACAAAGAAAAAAATGAGAAAAATAATTATCTCATGGGTCTGTTGCAATGATTCTCAATCCTGATGTATATTAAAATTACTCTTTTTAAAAATGTTACATCCTGAACCATACCTCCAAGTTAAATCAGAACCTCTGAAGACAAAATCCAAACATTAGCGGGGAGATAATAATTTTAAAATCTGGATATTAGTTTTAAAAGTTTCCCAAGTCATTGTAGTATGTAGCCTGAGCTGAAAATCACTGATGAGGATTAAATACTGTTATTCATGTGGAGCGGGGGCTCCGTTAGTTTCGACTCATTCCCAATTTAAGTTTCAAACCAGCAATTAAATCTACTTTGAGTATATATTCTAAAATTGTACCACTAGGTGTCAGTTTGACCATATAAGATTGTTTCTAGGAATTTGTGATTATCTGCTCTCAGAATAACAACTGTGTACCACCACCATTTGTCAGGTTCGTGCAGTATGCCAGCCACAATGCCAATAACTCTTTTTTTGTGTGTGTGTGTTGCCATTTTTAGGTTTATTTCACAATATTTGATATACCAATAACTCTTAAAACATGTAATTTCTGTTTTGTTTTTTGTTTTTTTGGTACTGGGGATCGAACTCGGGACCTTGCGCTTGCAAGGCAGGAGCCAGAACCACTGAGCTAAATCCCTGGTCCAAAACATGTAATTTCTAATCATATAGAATGTAGACAAGTAGCTGTTGTCTCAATCATGAGGAAGGTGAGAGTCATGAATTCTATGACTTGTACAAAGGTACACAGTGACAGAACTGGAATTCAAGTTTCATTCATTCAAAAACACTGAACACTAATTATACTCAAGGTACTATTTAATAGCAGAAAAATCACATTGTGCCTATGATGATTGTGACTAGGGATGAGTACTGCTTAGGTCATTCAGGACAGATGAGCCCTAAACACAGTTCTCATCCTTTTATCCTTCACTTATAGGTACATTTGAGAAGAAAAGGTCCACACCCCTTTTGCAGTTGTTCTTAGCATCAATTGAGCTCTGTCTTCTAAAGAACTTAAATTCTGGACCAGGAATTTAGCTCAGTGGTTCCACCGCCTGCCTCATAAGCACAAGGTCCCAAGTTCGATCCCTGGTGCCAAAAAAAAACCAACTTAAATTCTGTGTTCCTAACAAGGTAAAAATTGACTCTTAAGCAGTTTCCTGGAATGAGTTTTCCATTGTCTCCAGGTACTATGACAAAATAATAGTTTTTAAGAGTCTGTTGCATAAAGGATAGGGACATCCTAGTCTGATCTGTTTTACTACTGTCTTATTTACTTATTTATATGCTTAGCAAAAATTTGTTGGCCTGGAGTACATATCTAATTTAAAATCAGTAAATATTTACTGAATAAATGAACATCTATTACTGTGTTAAACAGCACAAAAAGAGCTATGAAAGAAATATATAAAGAAGTATACACCTCATTCTGGTAAGCAAATCTGAGTATTTCCTTCCAAAAGTACTACTTTGTTTCTAATAGGTCCAGCTGATTCATATCTGAGGTGGAAAAGACTCACAGGTCTTGGAAAAGATTCTACATGAACCACGGAGCAGACTATTATACTTAATTTGATCTGTGTATTCGGAATCTAATGGCTGCTCTGGAGTTTTTTTCCTGTGTCACAAGGACACCAGCTATATGTGTCTCTGGGCTGTCATTCACCAACCAAGCAGTTTGACAATTAGGATTATAGGGATTACTAGGCTGGATCAGACCTATGATCTATCCAACAATCTCTTACCTTGGAGGAAAGGTTACTCAGTGATCCTCAAAGCTGGTTATAATGGGGATGACTTGGGGGAGCTTGGCCAAAATATAATACAGACGCCTGGACCCTACTTCAACTTACTGAATTGGAATTCCTGAAACTGGAAGAGGAACTTGGGATTCCCACATAGGACCAGGGTTGAAAAATGGTGAGTTCAGGATTCACACAGGAAGATTCATGTAAGATTCTGCAATTCATAAATTTTTCTCTGATCTTTCCTGTATTTTGATTTCCTTCTCTTTCTGAATATGAGTTCCATGCAGTTATTACCTACGGTATGAAGCAAATTTTTGGGGGGGGGGGTCCATAAGCTTATCTCTATTGGAGGTTTGCAAGTGACATTGAAATCCTAGGATGTGAGGATTTGAGACATGAGTTCATGTTGATTTTATTTATCCATGCCATTTATGATACTAGAGACTTAGGTCAGCTCTCCCTCAAGAGCTTGCCTTAGAAGTTATATGCCTACCCTTGAGATTTTTCATTGTTTTTGAGCAGCTCTAACTTTATCAGTGATCTATTCTGTATCAGCTAGATAGTTTTGTCCACTTTGTGCAAGGGCAGAAAAATCGTATGTGTTCTCTGATGTTTGTGATCTCGGATAACTGCTGCCTAGGTCATTCAGAACAGGTAAGAACTTGTCACAGGCATGGATTAAAGGTCTGTTCTGAGTCTAGTTACTCTGTTAGTTTTGAAGAGACCAGGAAGCGATATATACTTTCACTCAAGAGCTCAATGATAAATGTTTTCCTTTGGAATGACAATACAGATGGTTCATGAGAGCAGAAGAAGGACTGCAGTGAAAGTACCTGAGATTTTTCATTGTTTACAAGCAGCTCTAACTTTATCAGGTAATCTATTCTGCATCGGCTAGATAGTTTTGTCCACTTTGTACAAGGTATAGTATACAAGGGGATAAATAGAGAAGGAGAATACCAGGGTCATGTACTTGGCAATTAGAACGAAAAAGGATTTGGCTTAAGCATATCATGTTCCTTTTATTTTTTTTTAAGGCTGATCTTCTGAAAATAGGGGGCCATACTTAGGGTGATCATTTTGGAATTTCCTTGTATCCTTCAGCAAGTCAGAGTAGTTTGTTTTGTTTTATTTTGAGACAGGTTTTTTGTTGTTTTGGTTTGGGTTTTTTTGGTACTGGGGATCGAACTTGGAATCTTGCACTTTCGAGGCAGGCACCAGAAACACTGAGCTAAATCCCCAGCCCTGAGACAGGTTTTTTAATAAATTGCCTAATGTGGCCTCCAATTCAGGCTCAAGCAATCCTCCTGCCTCAGCCTCCTAAGTATTGGGACTACAGGAGCATGCACCACTTTTTTTTTTTTTTTTTTGGTACTGGGGATCGAACTTGGGACCTTGCGCTTGCGAGGCAGGAGGCGGAACCACTGAGCTACATCCCCGGCACCCTGCACCACTATTTTTAAGTAGGCTTATGTATGTGTAAAGGCAAAAAAGGACAGGAGAACCAGGCATAGTGGCTCATGCTTGTAATCCCAGCACTCAGGAGGCTGAGGCAGGAGGATCACCATGACCCTGTCTCAAGAAGGGGGGGCAGGGATTTAGCTCAGTGTCTCCAAGCCTGCCTCGAAAGGGCAAGGTCCTGAGTTTGATCCCTGGTACTGAAAAAAAGAAACAAAGAGGGAGAGAGAGAAAGAGAGAAAGAAGAGAATAGGAGAAGAGAATAGGAGAAGAGAAGAGAAGAGAGGAAAGGAGAGGAGGGGAGAGGAGAGGAGAGGAGACGAGAGGAGAGGAGAGGAGAGAAGAGAAGAGAAGAGAAGAGAAGAGAAGAGAAGAGAAGAGAAGAGAAGAGAAGAGAAGAGAAGAGAAAAGAGAGAAGAGGTATTATCAGATCATAGCTTGCACATCATCTGTCTAGGCAAGTTAGGTCTGGCCAGAATTGATCTGCACAGAAAGCGTTTTGGACCTTGGTTGGAAATTTCTATACTCTGGTAGTGAGATTTTTGATTATATTCTTCAGGGACCTCACCACTGACCCTGTTCTTAATTGATACTATTAGAAAACAGATCCCTCAGGACTGGTCCACCCAAGATAAAACTACTGCAGCCTCTGATTCCAATACAGGAGCTCAAAGATGCTCTGGCTCCCCTATGATCAGTGCTCAAAGTAATGACAGCTTTTCCTGGAATTTCCTTTCATCTAGAGATTTCAAAGCATCCTGGAAATATTTGCCCATCCCATAGGCAGCTGATTAAGCCAATCTCTGACATTCATCTTTTGCTTGGAGGTCCCCCCGCTTAAACTGGTGACTGAGCTGGAAATAGTGTGGGCCTCCTGATTCAAGGTCTCACACTGGATGGCCACTCCCTCTCTTCACTTAAGCAGTTTGTAGCTCTCCTACAGGGCATAGCTCTTTATAGGAGCCAGTGTATCAGATTTGCCTGCTTCTTAGCTGTCATCACCTTCCACTGACTGCATTTTTGGGTTCTTCAGTGTCTTGGCAACTGGGTTGTGCCTTAGCTGTCCTGTATGTGGGAACTGTTGAAGAATCTCCAGGGAATCTTCTTGTTATCCTTCATTTCCAATTCTGATTTCCCCATGTCCATTCTTCCCTCCCCCATCTGTCAAAGTACTTTGCCCTCTGGTTCCTCTTCCTCTCCATCCTCATCTACCCAGAAGAAAGAGGAAGAAAGACCATTTCTTGGGAAGGATGGGAGAAAAAGACTGAGGTGACTTTTCTCCTGGGTTGCTCTTTTATTCCCAGGGAGAGGGCCATGGCGGTGAACTTTAGTCTCACAGGGTGGTGGAGATTAGCAAGGCGAGTCTATTTCCATCACCCGCCCTGAGGGAGCTGACTTGTTTTCCATGGAGGAGGGGTGATTCAGCTCAGATCCTTGATTGGGAAATCCATCTCAGAGCCTGAAAGAAAAGTAGCAGAAGGCCAGGTTCTTTAATTTCAGACCAGAGTGTTTACTGGTTTGCAAGAAACTGAGCTCTCTCTGTTCCCAGTGTTGGTGACTTTGTACAGAATTTCCCAAAGGAATGTCCCTGTCCACAGGAGTCCAACAGAGGTAGGCAGTGGGATCCCAAATTCAGAGTGCAGGGATGGCCTACATATACCAGTGGAGAGCTTTATTTAGTCTTACTACACTATTGTGCTTTTACCTACTAATTACTATAACTACTGGTGATCACGATATGATAATTAGGACATGCTTTTTTTTATAACTCCCAGAGCACCAGCCAAAAATAAATGATTGTGTCAAATGGCAAAGCTGCTCCTAGAGACAATTCCTGATTTATTCATTCATTTACTAAATATCTAGCGATCTACTAATGGCCAAGCCACTGGTTATCCCAGTGCTGATGCACTGCAGGATGGGCACACAAGTTTATCCTTGGGATGTATGTATCCAAAGTGGAAGCACATTGTGTATTAATGGGCACAAAACCAAATGGTGGCTGGGAGAGGGGGTGCCAGGAGACCTCCCCTATAATAGTAACTTTAAAGGTGATTTGTAAGATGAGTGGGAGCCAGCAAATGCAGTCCAACTTAGGGTAAACGTATGTGATTTCTAAGATTTCCAGAAAACAAACAAAGTTAAACAAACCCCAAGTTACCTCTCATATTAACCCTCCAATGTAATTACCAGGCTATGCCAATTGTGGTAGTGTCTCAGCTCTGCTTCTATACAATGTGATGCTACTTTCCGACAGTGTCAAATTCTACTCAAGTGGAAGACATAATTATTGTTATCCCACTAGAGAGAGTTTTAATGGAGGAAGATGGCACCAGGGAAACAATTATAAAATCAGGTTCTTCTATTTTTCACAACCAGGTCCAATTCTCCAAGCCCTTAGAATAGTCTGGATCTGTGATAGGAAATATATTAGTCTGTCTCCACTTCGGCAACATCCTTCTTAACTGCTGCTGGACTGACAAAGACACTGATGTCCTTTGCAGGAAACTAACAGGAAAAGAAAGAAAGCCTGCCTCTAAATGCACTTCCTGAGGGTTAAGTGAAATGGCTGCTGCTCTGGTTGTGGTATAGGAAAGGGCTGAATAAATAAATAAATACACAACCCTATTGTGTAGTTAGACCTCTTCTTTCCCTTCTAAAATCAGCCAGCCTTCCAAAGGCCAGACAGAGGACTTGGGTTATTAAGAGGTATTGAAACTTACAAGTTTCCTCTGTCTCAAACACAGAGGAAACAGAATTGGAAAGAGAGAAGACAAAAGTCACCGGAAGAGGAACTTACTATTGGTACATACCTTCTGTTTACTCTCTTGGAATTTTGCCTGCAACTTCTACTTTGAGTCTTTCTGAGCATTAATGTGGTAATATTTGGGAATGTGTCAGGAGGAAAGGGGGCCAGGGTTAGTGCATCTCAGAAAATCAATGGTCTTCTTTAAATCACAGCTGCACCAGTGACTTGATTTGGAGCCAGAGATGTAAGTCATTATTATCTGTGACTATTTATTAAGCTCCAACGTGTAGCACCACAGCAGGTGCTACTAGAGAAGATGACCTTGGAGCTGGATGTTTTGGTTTTGGTACTGGGGATTGAGCCTTGGGGGGGTGAGGCAAGTCCTCTACCACTGAGCTACATCCCCAGCCCTTTTTTTTTTTTTTTTGGTACCAGGGATCGAACTCGTGTCCTTGCACTTTCGAGGCAGGCAGCGGAGCCACTGAGCTAAATCCCTGGCCCCCCAGCCCTTTTTAACACATATAAAAATGTTTTTTGGAGATAGGTTCTCGCTATGTAGTTCAGGCTGGACTTGAACTCATTGTGTGGACCAGGCTGGCCTCAACTTCATGGTGATCCTTCTGCCTCAGCTTCTTGAGTACTGGGATTACAAGTGCACACCACCATGCTCAGTTTAAATTTTATTTTGAGGCAGGATCTTGCTAAATTGCCCAGTTTGGGCAGTTGCCCAGTTTTCATAATTTTCCTGCCTCAGCTTCCCAAGTAGCAGAGGGTTTTTTGTTTGTTTGTTTATTGGTTGGTTGCAGAATTTTTGGTTAAAAATCATTTATATTTCAAGAGGGTACCCGCCTATCTGTTTTATATAGTAATCATGGGTGAGTCCTGAGAAATGACTCAAAGCCAAAATAATGGGGTTTCCTTAATTATAGTTCCTCATTTTCCCTGGCTACATGCCAATCCTCAATATCCTCCCTTATAAGGAAGTCAGCTTGCATCTAGCACTGCTGGGTCACTCCAACCTCTTAGCAATCATGTTGCAAACTAGACTCTCTTCCCCCAACTTTTTAATTGCAAAGTTGTTCTTTATTCAGTCTCATAGTTCTTATTACTTCCAACCCAGGTGTGGAAGCCTTCTCTTAGATGCCCTTTTCTTGTCTGAAGAGCCCCTGTAGGATTTCTTTTCCTCTCATGCTCAGTGGAGGACTGACTTAGACTACACAGTGACCAGCTTCTTTTGAAAGAATGGAAGCCAGGCTTGTACTCTGCTGTGAATAGGAGGTGCCGCTCTAATTAACCTGCCTTGAGGGTTTGGGGCATCCCCTTCTTATTATAGGGCAGGTAGAAATTAGATTGGGTTGTGGTTTGTTGATCATATTCTATAAACCCCAGGTACTTATGGAAAAATGGGCCATAAGTGGAAATAAGACCAAACTTAAAAAGTTACCAGAGTTGCCAGAGTTCGTGACATTTTTCTTCTATAGTTTGGCAAGACAATCAGATAACATACAATAATGTCAATAATTAATGGTTATTGAGCACTTACTATGTTTCAGGCCCGAATTACACATATTATCTCATTTACTCCTCATAAAAGTTTTCCTTCTAGTAGTTAGGAGAGGAAACCAGCCATTATATACATTCAATAATAGTATTAATGGCAATATTAGTTATATATGCCAGTTATAGATTATATAATATACTGGTCCTGTATTGAACATATTCTCTCATTTAATTTTTAAATGAGCCCAACAAGTAGGTATTATACTGTTACAATCCTAAAGGGGTTGCTTTTAAAATAGTGTCTAGTGGTGTTCCTCCTGCTGGTATTTACATCCTTGGGTAACCCCTCTTCTTGAGTATAAGCTGGACCTAATGGCTTACTTCTAAGAGAATGTGACAAAGTGATGAAATGTCACTTCTTTTGGATTATAAAATCCTCTGACCTCTTTCTCTGGCTGGCCTTCTTTCTTGCTTGCCCTGATGAAGTAAGCTGCTGTGTTGTGTCATGCTCTATGAATAGGCCTACAAGACAAGGCCCTGAGGGAGGCCTTCTGCCAACGGTTCCTCTGAGGAACTAAGACCTTAGTCTAAAGCCAGTAAGAAACTGAATTCTGCCAAGGACCATGTGAGTGCACTAAAAAGCACATCCATCCCAACTGAGACTTGAAAGTACTGCAACTTTGTGAGGGACCAAAAGCTAGAGGATTCAGCTAAACTGAGGCAGGATTTAAGACCCACAGGAACTTCGAGATAATAAATGTAGCTTTAGGCTACTTGGATATGCGTGTGGGGGTAATTTGATATATAAAAAAAATTTTTTTTTTAATTTAAAAGTTGGGCTGGGGATTTAGCTCAGTGGCACTGTACCTGCCTTGCAAGCACAAGGTCCTGAGTTTGATCCCAGTAATAAATAAATAAATAAATAAATAAGTTAATGCACATCGTACTTTGTAGATAAAGAAACTGAAGCTGAGACAGATGAATCAACTTTGCCAAAGTCACACAATTAGAAAATGGTAGAGCCAAGTTTAAAAAAAAAAAACACATTAGATTTGAGAGTTCAAGTTTACCTTCTTATGAGGTTCCAAGTGATGGGGACACTGGAATTCTAGAAGGCATTCTACTCTGAGAAATCCTTGGAGAGTAGCCACGTTTCCAGGAAATTCTTTGTGTACATGTAAAACAGGGATGGACAAAAGTTTATTTGGTGCTAAGTACTTTATAGGGTCCACTCCCTGCTGTAGAAGAATGGCTGGTCCACCCACAGATCCGGTGATAGTAACCAGGGGCCCCTTTCAATAGCACAATGGCAGAACTAAGAGCTAAGAGCCCATCCATCTTAGAAGCACTCAAGCTGTTTTACCTATAAAATGCAAGGCAGGTGGATGGGGGTCATGCACTTTTCTTGAGGATGAAAACAAATGTATTTAGTAGTAAGAAGGCATGGTGTGGTATTGAAAAATCAGCAAAAGCCCCGGAATTAAAAAGCAAGTGGTTCTTCCTGAAAGAATAGCCTCTTCCATTGAGTTATTTTTTTCTTCTTCTTCTCATCCATAAAACAGCCTTGAACTTTGAAACCACAGTGGATTGTTCCATCATGGAGAGCATCTTAGTACTTACTTCCTTATATTGGAAGCTCCTCAAATTGGGATGGTAAACATATCTTCTCCCAGAGCTTTTTTGCCAGTGGTCATCTTTATGATGATATGCTCCATGGCTGGCTGTATGAATACGTCCTTCCCTGTCAGCCTTGACCTGCAGCCAAAGCAGAAGGCTTTGAGCTCAGGAAGGATTTCCAGGTGGCAGTAGAACAACAGCCCCATAGGCTAGAGCACTGGCACACTACCCCCTTTTAACCAGTGGCAGACTGCACTTGGCTGGTGTGATTATGCAACCTGGGGTAAAGTCCACAGCCAGGGAGGGGTGGAGGCAGGACTCTAAGCTGGCTCAGCACTCCAAGTGGGCTCCTGGACTCTTGTTCTGATTTTCTTTTCTTTTCTTTTCTTTTTTTTTTTGGTACTGGGGATCGAACTCGGGTCCTTCTGCTTGCGTAGCAGGCAGCGAAACCACTGAGCTAAATCCCCAGCCCTCATTCTGATTTTCTTTATCTTTCTCACCTGGACCAAAGCTTCTCTCTCTCTCTTTTTTTTTTTTGCTTAAATTCTTTTATTGGTCCATTTTAGGTATACAACATGTTTACATTTATCATTGGGTGCTTGTACCTGTACACGATGTATCTTGATGTATCTTTTCCTCATTCCCTGTGCTCCCTTCACCCCCTCCACCCTTCCCTATTTACAAAGACTTTTTTTCCTTTTCTTATAATTTTTCCTTTCCCTTCTTTCCTTTCCCCTTCCCCTTCCACTTTCCCTACCCCGTTGGGCCTTTTCTTCCTATTTCAAATTATCAATTATTTGTTTTAATCATTTTAATCCTTATTTACATTTTCAGTTTCTCACACTAGAGGAACTATTCAGTATTTACACATGTGTGTCCTATTTATGTCACTTAAGAGTATGGGCTCAATATGCATCCATTTAGCTATAAATGTCTCTGGTTTCTTGTTCTTTATGGCTGAGTAGTACTCCATTTTATAAAGAAACCACATCTTCTTTATCCAATTTCCAGTGGATGGGCACTTGGGCTGTTTCCAAGCTTTTGCTATTACAAACTGTGCCGCTATAAACATGGATGCACATGTATCACTGTGGTATGATTCTTTCAATTCTTTGGGGAAGATACCCAGAAGGGGAATAGCTGGGTCAAATGGGACCTCTAGTTCTAGTTCTTTGAGGTATCTCCATACTGATTTCCAAAGTGGTTGGACCAGTCTACACTCCCACCAACAATGGAGAAGGGTTCCTTTCTCCCCACTCCCCCGCCAGCATTTGTTATTGGTTGATTTCTTGATAGCAGCCATGCTTTCTGGGGTGAGGTGGAATCTCAGTGTTGTTTTCATCTGCATCTCTCAAATGACCAGTGATGTTGAACATTTTTTCATATATTTGTTTGCTGCTTTTATTTCTTTGTCTGAGAAATGTCTGTTCATTTCAGATGCCCATTTTTGAATTGGGTCTTTGAATTTGGGGGGTCTGATTTTTTTCAATTCTTTATATATTCTAGATAGTAGTCCTTTGTCTGAGGTACAGCTGCTAAAAATTTTTTCCCATACTGTAGGTTGTCTATTAGCTCTGTTGGTGGTTTCTCTTGCAATGCAGAAGCTTTTTAATAAGATGAGATCCCAGGTGTTGATTCTTTGTGCTAGTTTCCTTGCTACTGAGGTTTTGTTCATAAAGTCTTTTCCTAGGCCAATGTCTTCAAGAGTTCTACCTAACTTATCTTCCAGCAAGTTTAGTGTTTCTGTTTTAATCTTTAATCTTTAATCCACTTCCATCTTAGTTTACTACACGGTGATAGATATGGGTCTAGTTTTAATCTTTGGCAGGTTGAAATCCAGTTTTCCAACACCATTTATTAAACAGGCTATCTATCCTCCAATTAGGTGGTTGGCTCCTTTGTCAAAGATGAGGTGGCTGAGTGTGTCTGGAGTTGTTTCTTCATCTTCTAATCTATTCCACTGATCCTCCGGTCTGTTTCTTTGCCAGTACCATGCTGTTTTTATCACAGTAGCAAAGCTTCTCTTTTTCTTTTTCTCTCCCTCTCTTCTTCCCTGGCCTTTTTTCTGTGTGTCTCTCTCCCCTTCCCTTCCCTTCCCTTCCCTTCCCTTCCCACTCCCCTCCACTTCCCTTCCTTTTCTCCTTTCCTTTCTTTTTCCTTTCCCTTATCTCTAATTCCTTCATCCCTGTCAGCCTCAAGGATCCCTAATTTAGGAAACCACCTAATATCAAGTACTTCGCTTGCCTCCAACTGCTTAGTGGCAGGCAGCTCTGTCCCTTGTCTGGTTTCTGAACAATTTTCTTCTCCAGCAGTTACTTGTTTCTCTAATACATTAGGAATTGTGATTATGTAGAGAATCCCTGAGCCAGTACATGTATATGGAGGTATTGTCAAAAGACAAGAAATAGAGCTTTTCCCTGGTGAGATTTTGCCCCTCTGGACTAAAATAGGTATGAAAGGAAACTTGGATTCCTCTCCCTTGAAAAGTGACATTGTGAAGAGAGAACAGGAGGAAAAGTAGCATTTATACCCAAGAAACCCCAAGGCATACCATATCACTCCTCAAGCCCTCTATTTTCTACTTAATTGGATTCATAAAGACTACTTTTTTTTGCCCTTAATATACCTGCCATCCTGGTCTTGCTCTGAACAGATACCATCTGCACCACCTGCAGAGCCAACCACACAACACAAAGCTGCAGACTCCCAGACTCCAGCATTCTTGCTTTCTAAGAGTGGCCCCCGAAAGTTGGGGAGAAGCACACAACATAGGAAAGAAGAGAAGCTGGATAGAGTAATTACATTATAGTGTTACCCTGTGCATGTAAAATTAAAATGTAGAGTTCAAACAACAATCTCTCTGGTAAGACATAGTCTTTGATAACACAATAGTCTTCTGTTAGTTCAAAGCATGTTCCTTTAAACCTTCCTTCTTTAAGGGTATCCCTCTTCTTACTGTATTGTGTCTATTTATTTTACATTTTCTTTCTTAACTGATTTTTACAAGGAATGGGAATGATAGAAATGTTTCTGAATGTATGAGCAAAAGCATTATGAAAACCTTTTTTTTTAAAAAAAGTATATGAAGCAGAATGAATAGCTGATCTTTGTGGCATTTTTCCATCAAATTTTGTGAGAGTAATTTCATCGAGTTCCTAAAGTTAGATGGCAAGTCCTCCTAGTGAGACTAGCCTAATTCTATGTTCTCTATGGCACCTGGTCACTAAGGCTCTGCAAGAGCCATTATTATACAAAGCACCATAATCATGACCAGGCCCTCCTATGACGTTATTGTTTCCTATCTGCCAGGACATTAATTGTTTCTAACTTGCTCTAAAATTGATAGTACACCACACTGTCAAGACTAGAGAGAAGAAAGCTCCCATCGACATATTAAATGGCTGTGTAAAAGGACATACGGGGCATCTTTACCTTTGCATGTTACTTCATTTGTTATGGGATGTTAGCTCAGGCCTTCTGTCTTGACTTCTATCTTACTGTGGGCAGTGCCTAATCTTTCCTTCCACTAAATGATTCAGACACCTCTGACGTTATTTTGGCTTTTCCATTTTCTTTTTACAGATTTTTTGTGAGTCACTGAATTGAATGGGAGGTTATTTCTAAATTAGAAGGTGAGGATGACAGAAGAGGAAGGAAAGTTCCAGAAAATAACTAGGAAAAGACACCTTCTTTTTATGTATAGTTACTGGAGGAATAATTTCCACTTGGTCTGGTGATAGAAGTGTGTAGTTTATTTAAACTTGACTAAAAATATAGGCTAGAAAATAGTCCCCCCCACCCCTAACAAACATAGTTTCAGAATCCTGAAAGCTTGCTCTGCAAAGGACAAGAGGTTAGTAAATAGAAGAGATATGGGACAAAGAGTTAGACGGAAGACGATAGAGGCAAAGTACAAAATTTCCAAAGTCCAGACTCTTGGTCCCACAGGAAGTTCCCAATCATAAAAGTGGTGCTTGTGAAGAGAATGCCTCTTCAACAGTGTCCCAGAAATGCCTGTCCCCCATCGCCATTTCATGGCCCATGGGTTTGCATATTGTGGATGGAGTTGTGAGGAAGGTATATTTAAATCTGATTTAGAAATTGAAAGAGCAATTAGGCCAATATTTTTCCCCCCAGCATTTTCTTATTTAGGAACAGGAAACGTGGGTGGAAATGAAAAGAAGTAAAAAAGAAAATGGTGAATATATTTCTAGGAGTGCGAGAGTTTTTATAGCAATACCAGATTTCTCAAAAATGCCTACTGTGATTTGTACCCAAATGAGTACAATGAGTAAAAATGCAATCATTTATTCTTGTGCATTGTGCCAAATGAGAAAACAAAAACCAAAACCAAACCCCCCCCCAGTTCATTCATGGCTCTAATTTAGACTGCTAGGAAGAGTTTAGGAAAGAAAAAAAAAGACAAGCATTTAAAGTATCTGACACACAGCTAACAGGGCTATTTAAGAATTGCTGAACATAAAAACCAAGCAGGGGAGGGGGTGGTTGGAAGTAGAATTCTCATTTTCAGACCATCACAACGGTAAAATGTGGCCCGTTTATTCAAAACTTGTTGATTATTGTCTGCTTTCTGGTTATTTGGCAGAAGCCATCCAGGAGCGGGTCTAGAACTCTTTAACACCACACTTAAATTTATTGACGATGTATTGCAACTGAAGGGGACCGATTGATACTAAAGGGCTGCTCTTTGACTTTTAGCATTTAGACTCCTGGAAAGAACTTCAAAGAACTTGGGCGTATTGAGAACTCAGAAAAAGAAAGGGAAAGGTTTACGTGGTACCTTTCTCTCAAGGAGTTAGAAACACTTCTTAAACACAATTTTTGATGTTGGTGTTTCGCAGGTGTTACTAATACGAGTAAAATGACATCAGATTAGCTTCAGCTTGTAGGTAGGGCGCTGTAAAAATTGAAGAGTTTACAGCGTCTGCTCCACAACAAAGAGTTAACCCTTCCCCGGTAACCTCAAATGTGAGCTTCTGCCCCTTTTTAGCTTTCTACGGCGCAACCAAACTGTGCATAAACTGTAAAGAACCGTGGCCGTCACATCCCTTGCAAGTTAACTTAACAGACACTTCCAGCAGCCTATCATAACTTCGGACAGACCAGTCACCAACCAATTACAACTAAAGCTTGGTCTAGGTCGCTCCAGGTCCGGGCGGGTGCGAATACCCGGTCCAGGAAAAGGGGAGGTAAAGACGCCATGACCGGCAGGTAAATTAAGCCAATCAGAGCAAAAAGCCGCCGCCCCATTGTCCAATGGATAGGTCGGAAGTATGATATGGGGGTGGGCCTGTTGTCATGGGGGAGGTGGTGGCGCTTGGTGGCTCCTGGCGGCCGAGGTAGTGGCAAAGGCGTTGGAGTTGGTCGTGGGCAGCGGCAGGTTAGTGCAGTAACGCGGCCCTGAGGGGTGGAGGCCGTCGCGGGCCGGAAACTGCAGCTCAGCCCTCTGGAGGTGGCGGCTGGTGGAAGGGGGCCTGGGCCAGGTCGGGGCCAGGGCCAGGGCGGAGGCGGGGACGAGTTCGCTCTGACTGGGTTGGTGGGAGAATGGCCCGGTTCTCGGAGGCAGAGTTCCTGCTGGGAAGGTAGGCTGGCGCCGGAACCAAGCAAGTGGGCCGGGAGGTCCCTTGGGACGCCCTGCTGCTCCGGACTGGGGCACTGACTGGCGGCGGGTGTGCGAACTGTAGCGCTTGAGGAAACACGGAGCGGCCAGGGTCCCAGAGAGGGCGGTGACCCGGGGTGACCAGTCTGCGGGCGGGGTGACTTGGGAATACTTCAGACAGCTTGGGTGCGGAGGAAAGAGGAAACCCTGGAAGCTCGGGAGCGGACAGTGTGTAGATAGCCGGGGGCCTGAGGAAACTGGGAGTGGCCCTTGGAGAGAGGAAGGGTCCGAGGTGACAGCAACCAGAATCCGAGTAGGGGGCGTCTGTGGAGAGGCGCCTAGCGGGGTGGAGACCCTCCTGAGAAAGACGGCTCTCCAAAGGAAAAGGGCGCCTGCCGGAGCGGCGGGTCTCGGGAGGGTCGGACGAATGGAGACCTGGAAGGGAAGTCCCGCAGCGCCGAGGCACCCGCCGCCCGAAGCCGGACTGGGACCCGAGATTGTACTAGCAGCTCCTGGTCTGAAGATTCCCCGGGGCACCAGGAAAGACGTCCTCTAGGAGTAGATCAGGCTAGAGACGAGGGTGAGAGTTCAGCGGGGGGAAGTTGGAAGTTCCCCGAAGCAAAACGGGATGGAGGTGGCAGGGGAGGAGTAATCTTCCCCATAGGAGGCGGGTAGTAGATAGGTCTCAGGAGCGACAGAGTTGCTCAGGGAGAACTAGTAGTGGTCTTGTAGAAACTGGCCAGGACAGATACCAGAAATTAACAGTGGTGTCACTAATGGATTCTAAGGTCTTCAGAAAAAGAAGAGATTTCAGCTTCATAAGTAATACAAAGATGCCATCTAGGACCAGAGAAAAAGTCCTAATTGCAAGGTAAAGCGACTTGCATTTTAGTGCTTTAGAAATTTGGTTAGGGACGACAGCGATAATACTAGAAAATAAGGACATTGTCAGGATGGGGAATTTGAGAGGGGAAAAAAAGGAGTAACCGAGCTGAAGGATTAGAACTGGGGACTTGGTCAGAAAGAGGATATTCATGACAAGGTTAGGCATGCCCTGCTAAATTGAAAATAATTTTGAGTTCTAGTTCCACTTTGCTCGGGCAACTTAACCTCTCTACATTTTTTTTTCATCTGTGTAATAAAGATACTAATAGTTTTTACTTGAGGATTAAAAATTTTTTTTACATGAGCTAATATTTGCATAGCTTTAGAATAGTCATTGGGACATAGAACTGTGTATTGGATTGATAAATGGAGGATAAAGATATGAGTTCTTTAATATTGTTGTTCTCAAACATTAGCTTACATTGGAATTACCTGGAGGGCCTGGTAAACTACAGATTGGTTGGCCTCACCTGGGGTCTGCTTAAGGTGTTGGGTCGTGCCCACGAATTTATCTCAAGTGATGTTTGTGTTGGCCAGGAGACCACGTTTTAAGAAGCACTTGCTTTAATGAAAATAATAATTAGCAGCCCCAAAACACTTGCCCATTCTGCTGAAGAGACAAGTAGAGGAAAATTGCAAAAAAGGTTTTTTGTTATTGTTTCTTTGTTTTTGATAGTCTTGGGAATGGGACCCAGGCCTTCTGCATAATAGGCAAGTACTGTACTACTGAGCCACAGCTCCAGCCTGAGGATACCCTTTTTTAAGCCTCTACTTTTAAACTGTGGATCAAGATTAATTTGTAATATATAAAATTTTGTAAATTACCACAAGCAGAACAGAATAGACTAGGATTGCACTTGGTAAGGAAATGTTTTGGGAAACTTCTCATACATGTATGTACTAGGTCACGAAGTAAAACATTTCTTGCAGTCAAAGTTTAAAAAGTGAGCCATGCAGTTTAGCAAAAGCAATCCTCTGTTATCTAGGGATTGGGTTATTATTTAAGCTACTTTTTGTTGTATTTCTTAAGTGCTAACACAGTCCATTAAATTTCTTCACTCGATCTTAGTCAAAGGGCCAAGAAGTGATTAGTCCATTAAATTTCTTTATTCTATGATTTAACTTATCTTTTGTTAGTTGTTGTCACTATTGTGTTGTGCCTCTGACTCTGGAACTTTTTTGGATATTGAGAATCTTTGGCATGAGGACTTAAGGCAATTTGAGGCAGAGAAATTGAGTGGTGTTTCTCAGATGTTGTCTGCTTTTGTTTCATTTGTGCCCTCTTTTTCACCCCTTTTAAAAAAGAAACAATGTACTATAAAGCATTGTCTGAAAAAAACCATTAATTTATACAGACATAGTGACAGTAAACAACGAAAAGTGAAATGAACAGGTTTGAGAACATTTCATGTGTGGACAATAAGCAAAGTAAGAAGCATTTCAAAAGAGAAAAGCAAAAAAGTACTTTGTTTTTGGAGAGTAAAAGTATTTAAAACTTTTTCTTTTGACCTTACATTAAAACAAAACATATAAAGACTTTTTTTTTGGTACTGGGGATCAAACTTGGGACCTTGTGTTTGAGAGGCAGGCAGCAACACCACTGAGCTAAATCCCTGGCCCAGTAAAGACATTTTTTAAGGTACTGGCAATATGATTTCTAGGTATTTTTTAAAATTTCTAGGTTTTTGTAGAGAGAAGTAGTGATAATGCTTGACAGCAAAATGCACTGGGATAGAGACTTAACTGCCCAGAAAATTGCACATTAAGGAGGAGCTTTTGTTTTGATGGTTTTCTCGCCTGAAAGTGAACTGGATGTGGTGTATGTTATAAATTTGTTTGAGAAACCTAAATATAATCTACATTTAAAGTTACAGTAAGAATATACAGTATATGTTTTGTGCTACCCTTGGTCTGTATTCTATTGAAAATTAGATGAAGTTGGTTTAGATCATTTTTTGTTGTTATTGTTATTTGAGTCAGGGTCTTGCTATGAACCCAGGCTGATCTCAAACTCAAGGTGATCCGCCTGCCTCAGCCTTCTGAGTGCTGGGATTACAGGTGTGCTCTACCATACTGGGCTGGTGTAGATGTGTTTTTATGTATATAAGAACAGAGAAACCAGTATTGAAAACTGAAAGAGATTCTTGTGGTTCTCTTTAAAACCTTTTAATCCAGGGGATTATGTAATCTTTCATTAATGTTTTATGGAACTGAAGAAATTGTTGATGTAGCTTTACATCAAGTTTTAAAAATTATTTTTCTCAAATCTTTTAATTCTATTTCAGATGTTTCCATTTTTTTAAAGTTATTTGTATTTTTAAAGTTGGAAAACATAATCATTCCATGTTTGATTTCAAAAGTAAAAGCACTCCTTTCACAAGACAAATTTAGTAAAATTTTTTGTGAGAAAGAATCCAAGGATGAAAGCTTTTGATTTCTTGCATTGAGTTAATGGAATGCCAGTAGTAGACTGGGTGTGGTGGCACACACCTGTGATCCCAGCAGTCAGGACACTTAGGCCAGAGGATCTCTGTGAGTTCGAGGCTGCCCTGGGATACATAGTGAGTTAATGGCCACCTAAACTACAAAGCCAGACCTTGTCTCAAAAAAACCAAAAAATGAAAGAAAAAGAAGAGAATGCCACTAGAATTGTTGTACTTTAAGTCATTATACATTTGTTTAGATCATTTAGTTCTACCCCGCATGATGGAAGGATGTAAAATCTTAATTGAGTGTGGGAAAAAATATAAAAGTTCATTCTTCGTAATTGTGAACATTGAGCAGTTTATTTACTTGCTTTTAATAAATGGACTTTATTCAGTTGGCTTATTCATCTATAATTCAATCATACTTATCTATGAATACCTCTGATTGCACAACTTATTTTGCAGTTGAGATCTGTTAATCTATAGTTGAACAAATGGTGGTTTTTAAATCTCAGAGAAAATATGTGCTCCTGATTATACTACGTAGTGAGACTCAATAGAAAATACAATTAACTAGTATTAATTAAACTTCCATTTTAAAAAATCACTTGTCTGAATAAACCTTGGTAAGTAAAATTTTCTATTTTAGGGAAGTCTTGTTTTATGATAGCTTTTTATCTGTTTGTTCTGCTTCTTGCTCTCAACTATCCATACAATAAATCCTAAAGGAAAATCTAGTTCTGTAAAAGAACAAAACCTCTATATCTGATTTTTAGTTTGCTTCAAGAATTCCTTTACTAGAAAAGGCTCCTTAGTATACTTATCACCTTAAAAAAAGGTATTTATGTAATAGATTTTGATTTCTACAGAATAGATCTCCAGTTCTGCATATTTCTGAACTCTGATTTGAGTTTCCTTGATAGGACTGGGGGCAGTGAAACAATGTACTCCCTAAATTTTTAAAGTGTTTTGCTTTTTAAAAAAATCTTAACACCTGAGACAGGATCTTAACATATTGCCTAGGCTGGCCTTGAACTTACTACTGTCTTCCCGTCTCAGCCTCCTGAGTATTTGGGATTCTAATAAATCCTTTAATTGCAAAGAAAATTTGTTTTAGTAATATAAATTAGAGCTAGAAACACTATGTAAGATTTTAGGATGTCTATTCAGAAGTGAGATAGAGCTAGTGATGAATAGGATCTTATTAAATACTAGGCACAATATTGCCATACATTTTGGAGAATATAAAATAATATACTTACAAGTCTTGAGGCAAAAAGGAGACCTGAAATAAA